AAAAAAAAAACTGAAAATCACAAATATAACGAGGTGTAATTACTTTCCATCATTGTTACAAAGAATCCGAAGTAAATGAATTTTCATTCAGGACACTCAAAATATGCAAAAGATTCAAAAACAAGCTTACTGGTTCTCATGTCGCATCATTCTATAGATGTCAAATTGATAATCACCAGTACCGGCAAAAAGTTCTTCATCAGATTCGAGATCACGAAAGAGCGTGGTTCCCTCTAAAAAACATGCAAGCAAAATGAGACTTAAGAGTATTTTAAGACACATATAAACTCAGTGAGACATGCCTTTTCGCATACGACTTAAAGTAAAGTCAATAAGATTCACTTTGACGCCGTAAGAACGCAGAATCATCGTTCCTCCAGATAATTTATACCTAAAAATACATGGACTCTCATTAAAAAATTGATGTTTTCAATAGAAAAGTCAGAAAAAAAGTACTCCAAATCGTTGTCCTCTTCCAATACAAGCACATTACCAATATGCAAATCACGATGTTCAAACTCAAGCCGTTCTTCAGCCACTACCAACGAAATTGCGATTTGAAGTAAGGCCGAGAGTACTTGATCCTCATTTTTCATCTACATTAACAACATCACAAATAGAAACTTAAAGAACAGAATTAGTATGGAAAATTCTAACCTGGAAATGCTCCAAGTCTGCACCACCCATTGCCATGCCCATAGTTACAAACAGTTGATCCTTACTAGCATATTCAGTAGGCCTGTCATTTTCAGACTCTTTTTCTTCATCATATTCATCCCATGCCGCAAGAAAGGGATCGGGGTACAAGCCTGGAGCAAATTGGCGCAGATAATAAAGGAAACCTACTGTTTTGCTCAGAACATACCTTTGACTACATTTACTTTCAACAACTGTATGAAATTTGGGGTGCTGAAATCTGAAGAAGGATCATACAGAGCAGACAACTCGCGGATAATCAGAATCTGCAAAAGTACGTAATTCCCTTGTATTGAAAAACAGCACAAAAAACAAGACTTCTCCGTCTGAAAAACCATACGGTTAAAGAATATAGCAAGTTCATCATTCTCACTTCATGCAGTATTTATAAACTAACCTCCGGTAATACACCAGCGGCATCCATAAGATATTCGCCGTTCACTTTCCCGTTATAAACCACGCTATCTCCATGGAACGGAAATACCTAAAGACATACTTTCTGGCTACAATAAACTTGTCAGAAAAATACAAAAACACCTTCAGAGCAGTAGCTTGGCCATCATAAGAGGTGGCAAAAACTTCGCCATAAACTCCTTCTCCAAGTTTTCGGGGCTGCTTGAAAACACTGAAATAGCATTTTTACGACTTCTGTTCTTGAAATGTCACCTGAACCTTATTGTCACCCACTCGCTCGGAAGATCATTCCATCCAATAACATCTGGTTGACCGATTACATGCAGAAGTTGCTTCAGCGGACTGGCTGTTGCTGCGTCAGAGCATCCAATCAAGTAGAATGGTATGTCTATCTAGAAAGGAGCTATCCACATAGTACTCATGAACAAAAATCAACTGAAACTGGTGAAGGAAGATTGCTACTTACGAACGAGGCATTTGTCAAGTGGGTCATGTTCCTGGTGTTGTTCGTCGTCATTTGAGTGACGTTTCTAGTTGTATTTCCAGGATTACGCTGAAACAGAGAACTTTCCCTGCTTATTTCTGCACAAAAACAGCCTCGTTGGTCTAACTTTTTTCCCGAAAATCACATGTACAAAAAGAATCTCAAAAAGCTTAGGAAACTTACAGTTATTTGTAACGGAGCATCTTCCGCCAGCGTTGCCATCGAACAATATGACATGTTTTCCTCTTAAATACAACAGATTGGCGTATAAGATTTAGCTAAACAAAACAGAGCTGGAACTAACCGTGTCCACATAAGGACAAATCCATTGATGTTTCTAAAAGAGCAGCCAGAGTATTTGCATCATTGTCAGTATCGTCATTGTCAGCTCCAGATACTAAATTTAAATACAACAATACATATACTAAAAACGTCAAATACTCCTCACCGTTTGATGTATCTTTGAGAACAGGAACATCACCGGTTGATAACCCAGGATACTCAGGCAGAACGCAACTGTCAACTTTTTCGAAACTGTCTTCACGGATAACCGGTGAGATTGGTACATCAGCCTCAGAACATCCTTCAAAACAGAAGTAGATATTGTGTGAAATTCTAGATAATCGAACATTTAACGTTGAGCTTCAACATCTTTATAGAAAGCTTCTCAAAATCTAATCTAGGATACTGTTGTCAAAACCGAAAGATAATCACCTCGTGATATCCTCGACAAACGCTTCTTGTTACGTCCAGTAATATCCAACCATGTCGGGGAAGTAAATGTTGGTGTATTCTGGAATAACTTTTACTAACATATTCCTAAAATATTGTAAATTTAGTTACAAGATATTTCAAAAAACACTTTTGACTAAACAAAAAGCGATACGAAAACTTTGTATATCTAAAAAATCCTACTAGAGATAATGGATAATCACTGTTGAAAACCACACATCTACTCACTTCCTTGCCTCCTCCCGTTGCCGTTTCAAATGGATTTCCACTGATTTGATCAAACGGAGTCGAATGGGCTTGAGGAGCACACTTCTGTAAGATGAAAATGTTGTGACAACCATCTAACATTTTAATGACAAAAGCAAACTGTTTTGTCTTACCTGTATTGGAGTACTAGAATGGGCAGGCTCTTGCAATGCCATTTCGGAAAAAGACGAGAACAAAACTTCCTGGTGCTGAGATGAGCGATTATCTAGATATAACATAATTCGGTCTTCATTGTTCAACAGTCACTACTAAAGCAAGACCTTCTAGGTACCTTTCGTCTGGACTCTATAAAACACCTGCTGGTTGGCTAAAGATGGTAACTCCGACACATAAAAAGTAACAACCGACTCTGTTTCTTCTCTCTGTTTGTATCTCATAGCTAGTTTAACATTGATTTACTCGATCGAGAATTTTAGTAGAAAGCCAGGTTAAAAATATCTTCATAGGGAAAACTACGATAATTGACTCTATAAGCTATTACAATGAGAAGCCTAAACCGAAGAAACATTATAATGAGAGACAGAAGGCGGTGACTCAGGAATGGAGAAGGATTCTACCAAGCACAGACCCAGGCAAATTAAAAAAAAAGAGATTAGAGGAATGAGCAGTTATGGACTACCTGTGTCTAAGAAGCTAGCCGTTAGCAAAAGCTTCTGCTTCCTACCATCTGTAGATCGTAATCGACTCTGAAAGTGATGAAATAATCATATATCAGATGACTGATAAAAGGGTCAAAATAGTTGCAGACCTTTGGAGTTGCCACAAAGTTCGTAGAGGAAAGCGTACTTTGCACTTGTTGACTATTTCCAGCACGAACTGAAGCTGTTTCTGTGGATTCCGTTTCTGGAGTTTCTTCAATGGGTTCAGGAGCTTAAGAAACAATTAGGCGGTTAGATGCATATGTGTAACAGTTATACGTGCTTGTGAGTACGAAAGGAAGCTAGATTTTCGATAATGTTCAGCAGAAGAGCTAATTAGAATTTTGGAAAACGCATCGTCAAATGGTTATACTCGTGATATTTCATCAAGAAAAAAGTTACCAATTGATTGCGTAGTCCTCCTGATCCTTTCAATTGTAGCACTATCTCTACGGAGACTAGTACCACCAACAGCAAAAATAGAGAGCCGAACGGAGCCTAGTGAGTGGTAATTAACATGAGATAGTAGATAAGTGCTTCAAATAGAATTATTGATTGTAAAGTAAAAGTAAAACATGAAAATAGATTAGTAGTAAGGTGGAGGTTTTTGTTTGGTTATTTGTTCGATACGCTTTGAATATGGCAAAAAAAAA